TGGGTGTTATATGCAAACAATGAATCATGGAACACTACATCAAAAACTAATGATGTAATGTATCGTGATTAACATAACATAATAATAAAAAAAATAGAATAGGAGAGATAAAATGTTTCCCAAACAAAAATGAAAGGAGTTCATTTCAGTAAATCAGCCCTGAAAGAGATTTTATTAAAGGGAATTTTTGAGGGCAAAGAAGAGACAGAGGGTGACAAAGACAAGAAAGAAAACTGAATCCAACAGCACATTAAAATAATCATTCACCACGATCAAGTGGGATTTATTCCTGAGCTGCAGGGGTGGTTCAGTATGACAAATCAATCAACATGATATACCACATCAATAAAAGGATAAGAACCATATGATCACTTCACTAGGCACAGAAAAAGAATTTGACAAAGTACAACATCTATTCATGACAAAACCACCAATCACAGTAGGATTTTACAGGGAACACAAATCAACATAATAAAGGCCAATTATGAAAAACCCACAGCTAATATCCTCAAGGGGGAAAACTGACAGCTTTTCTTCAACAAGACAGGTATGTGCACTCTCACAACTGTTACTTAACAGAGTACTGGAAGTCCTAGCCACAACAATAACACAAACAAAGGAATAAAAGGCAACCAAATTAGCAAGGAAGAAGTCAAACTTTCACTCTTTGCAAATGACATAATACTCTAACTACAAAACCTGAAAGATTCCACTAAAAAGCTGGTAGAGATGATATACAAATTCAGTAAGGTTGCAGGATGCAAAATCAATATACAGAAATCTGTTGCATTTCTATACATTAATAATGAAGCAACATAAAGAGAAATTAAGGAAGCACTGCCATTTACAATTGCACTCAAAACACTAAGATACCTAGGAATAACCTTACCAAAGGCAAAAGATCTATACTCCGAAAGCTATAAAACACAAGAGGACACAATGAAATGGAAACACATTCCATGCTCATTGACTGGAAAAACAATTATTGTTAAGATGTCTATACTACCCAAAGCAATCTAGAGATTTAATGCAATCCCTATCAAAATACCACCAGCATTTTCCACAGAGCTGGGACAAATCTAAAATTTGTATGGAATCACAAAAGATCCCAAAAGGCCACAGCAGGCTTGAAAAAGTAAAGCTGGAGGCACCACAGTTCTGGACTTCAAACTATATTACAAAGCTGTAATGATTAATACAATATGGTCCTATATTAATAGATATACAGATCAATGGAATAGAATAGAAAACCTAGAAATGAACTCACAATTACATGGTGAATTAACCTTCGACAAAGAAGGAAATATTGAGTTAGTGTCTTCAACAAATGGGTGTTGGGAAAACTGGACAGCAACCTGGAAAAGAATACAACTGGACCACTTCCCTACACCACACACAAAAATATAATCAAAATGGATGAAAGACCTATGTGAGCTATGAAACCATTAAGATCCTGGAAGAGAACACAGGCAGTAACTTCTTCGATATCAGCCTTAGCAACTGTCTACTAGATATGTCTCCTGAGGCAAGGTAAGAAAAGCAAAAATAAACTACTGGGACTTCATCAAAATAGAAAGCTTCTGCATAGTGAAGGAAACAACAAAACCAAAAAGCAACCTACAGAATGGGAGAAGGTATTTGCAAATGATGTATCTGATAAAGGGTTAGTATCCACAATATATAAAGAACTTGAAACTCCCCACGCAAAAAAATGAATAATCCAATTAAAAATGGGCAGAAAACAAAAATAGACATTTTCCCAAAGACACCCAGATGGCCAACAGACACATGAAAAGACACTCAACTCACTCATCATCAAGGAAATAGAGATCAAAACCATGAGACCACTTTACAGCAGTCAGAATAGCTAAAATTAACTAGTCAGGAAACAACTGATTTTGATAAGGATGTGGAACCCTCTTTACACTGTTGGTGGGAATGCAAACTGATGCAGCCACTCTGGAAAACAATATGGAGGTTCCTCAAGATGTTAAAATAGAGCTACCTTACGACCCAGCAATTGCACTATTAGGTATTTACCCAAATAATACAAAAAGACTCATTCAAAGTGATATGTGCACGCTGATGTTTATAGCAGCATTGTTTACAACAGCCAGACTATGAAAACAGCCCACATGTCCCCTGTTTGAATGGATAAAGATGATGTAGTATATATATATATAATGGAATATTACCCAGCCATAAACAGAATGAAATATTGCCATTTGTAAGGACATGGATGGAATTAGCACAGAATAAGTCAGAGAAAAGGAAATAATATATTGTTTCACTCATATACAGAATTTAAGAAACAAAACAAATAAGCAAAAGGCAAAAATGAGAGAGAGGTAAACCTAGAGAAAGACTCAATTCTAGAGAACAAACAAGGTGGCAACCAGAGGAATGGTGGGTGAAGGATGGGTTGAATAGGTGATGGGGATTAAGAAGTGTAGTTGTGATGTTGTAGTGTAGTTGGGGTGTTGTATGGAAGTGCTGAATTACTAAATTGCACACCTGAAACTAATATTACACTGTACATTAACTGGAATTTAAGTTAAAATTTTAAAAGGATTATCACCAATACCTGTCCCCAAAAAGGTGGGAACCAAAAGCTGGAAACAATCCAAATGTGTGTCCACTTATAAACTCATAAGCATAATGTGCAGATATACAATGGGATATTAATCAGCCACTAAAAATAAAGAAAGAATGTCACAACATGATGAACATCTTAAGTAAAGGAATCCAGAAACAAAGCCCACATGTATTATGATTCAATTTTAGGAAATACCCAGAACAGACAAATCAGAATAGACAGAAAGTTGATGAGTAGTTGCCAAGGAATCTGGGAAGAAGATAAGGAGAGAGACTTCCAATGGGTACTGCATTTCTCTAGCAGATAATGAACATATTCCAGAGCTAAACAGTGATGGTTGTGGAAACCAGCACCCATTAAGAAACCATTCCTTTTATCTTCCCATCCCAGCCTCTGGCATTTACCAAGCTACTTTCTGTCTGTCTGTCTGTATGTATGCTGTTTGTATGTATGTACCAAATGCCACTAAACGGCATACTTTAAATGGTTAAAATAGTAAGTTTTATATCATGTGTTATTCACCACTTACAAAAATTTATTAATTATTCATTGAAAAACACTGAACTGCTGAGAACATTGGGCTGGTAAAGGACTCCTTTTGATCCTTAGGACAAGAAAGCTGCCCTCCTCTTTGCTTCCCTGAAACAATTTATATTTACAATCTCTTTCAATAATTTTGTTATTAAACAAAAAACTAAAAATGTGAGGCGGTAAAAGAAATGTAAGGTAGGAAAGCAAAATAAAATGTTACACCAGTAAATAATGTCCCCATCTTTCCCCTTCAAAAAACAAATATTATTTGGGGCGGGGTGGGGCTTTATAAACAGAGAAAAAAAGAGTTTTAAGAAAGTTTAAAATACAGATATTTTATGAATTTCAAGTTAATAAACATTTCTTAAATAAGAAGACAAAAAGTTCTAGAGTAAAAAGTACAATACATTATTAAAGTGGGAAAATAAGCCATAAATAATCTTATTATTTTTCAGTTATATCTTCTTTAAATTATTACCTTTATATAATCAATCCAATGTTGAAGAAGAACTTGAACTCCACAGTCTACCCTACTAAACAGCTGGTAAAGGAGAGACAAATCCTCAATCCTGTTTTCATCAAGAAGATAGCTTAAGCCTGAATATTAGAAACATGAAGGCAAAATTAGCAATACAAACATCCACCTGAAGATATACATTAAATAATTATTTTGAGATTATTACATTAAGATATTTACTCAATTAAAAATGGTACAGTCCTAAACTTTACAAATGAGAGTAATATCAATAAGTTTTTATTAAGTAATAATCAGATGGATAATGAAAAAAAAATTTATGCCTCTGGACCAATTGTTTTTTCATCCTCATAACTGCTGTCATTGTAAACCATTGCATATTTCAAATTATTGCCCAAAAATATATATTATATTAAAAATAATACAGTAAACAAATTTGTAGTACAATTAGTGTGCAGAAAAATGAGAAATTTTAATTTCTAATTAAAAAGTTAGTAATTAAAAACACTAAATATCTGATTAAGTACCAGATATTGATTTCTATGTGGGAAGAGAAATAAGAAAATTAGAGATGATCAAGTCCAAAAAGGATGCTATGCAATATATCCAAATGCATGAACAAATTTAATCACTGAATAAATAAACTTAAAAATCCCAGAATGCAAAGGATATACAAGAATATATTTGTTTCTAAAAAGTCATTTGTTCAGCATCAGAATATATTAATATCAACTTGTTGCTTTTTCTACTCATCATTAACTGAAGAAACCCTCACTATCCAAAGAAATTTTCTGCCAACTCTGTTTCTTGGAACTATATGTACCATACTTAATATATAATATCAGTAAACATCAATTTTATAAGGCTTTAGAATTTTATTAGCATTCCTCAACTTCAAAGATCTAAAAAATCTATTTTACTTTAGTTCACTTCTCACTTACCACTGTGTTGTTGATAAACACCTATTGTTAATCAATCCACACTATCAGGTTAGCATTTTAGTATGGTTTGTGTGAAGTATAATTTTTTTTGTATTTTAAATTTAAATTTATTAAAAAAAAATAAGATGAGAAAAGATATAATGATGACATGTTAGATTATGGAATTTAATTGCCCTTTTTATCAAAATAAATACTAATGGTCAACTGAAAATTGTCAGTCATTAAGAAGTCACTGATTGTTCTAAGATGCATGGGGTGATGACTGCCCAATTTCATTAATATATTATATGTGTTTAAATAGATTAATTTTATGGTATAAAAATTATATCACAATTTTTTAAAAACGAAGTAGGACCCTGGCAGTGAATTAATTTTTGAATCTAGAAATAGGACTTAAAATCCTTAAAAATAGGAAATCCTTAAAAATAGGAAAAAAATCTAAATGTTCTGTATTTGGGGCCTCAATTTACTTTTACAAATCTCTATGTTCAATTTACATCATAGAGAATGTTAGTGTTCATTCCTTTTACAAAGGGAACATGGTGTATAAGCAATTTATTCCATAAACTAAACAGTAATCTGGTAAATTGATTGTCATTTAAACAAAACCAAATAAAGCTAAAGAAGGTTTTGGTTTTTTTTTTTTTTAAGGTATCAAGTTCCTGGTTTATTTTGATTGTATACACATACTCAAGACTTCTCTGGTTTTATTCTCTTCTCATCCTATAAACAAAGACAACCCCCCCCTTTTTTTTTTTTTTACTAGAAATCCACCTGTTTTTTCCTGTGATTTCTTCAAACTGAGAGTTAAAAACATTAGTCACAAATTCTATAAAACTGTTTGAATGTCTTTTAAAGTTGCTGGATTTTTATTTTAAGAGTAGGCAAATGTAGTAGAATATATAACATTTGCCTACTCTTAGAATAAAAAGTCCTCCTATTTTGGCAATCTAAGATTTAAGGAGCAAAATGGTGTGAGGCTGGTAAACTATCAATCGTATCAGCTTCTAGTGCTAATAGTGTTAGGAAACTTAATTTATTTTATTCACAGAACACAAACTATTAGTGCAAAACAAGAAAAAGCACCAATTAAAAGCCAATTAACAGAAAAATGCTAATACAAGCTCATATAGTTGTATATTTGTGTATAAAGATTAAAAGCGATATTTATTCAGTGCTAATAACCTTGGGTATTTTTCCATTCACAAATCCATTATAAAATCTAGTCAATCCTTTATGTAGTTTTTTTTTACCTTATGCCTTAAAATAAACCTGAACAACTTAAGGTTTTAAATAATTGGGATTTCAGTAAAGTGTAAAATTTGATGTTGAATGAAATAGCATTTTCATAGTGTGTACAAAGGGCTGAGTTTCATAATCATCAGAACTGATAAATATGCTTAGATTATGCTCAAGTTGCTTAGGAAAATTAATGCTAAAACTTTTATCTGTTTTACTAAAACTATTTTTTAATTTCAGGAGAAGTCTTCCAAGTCCCCTTATATAGTAAATCAAATTAATTCTTTTAAGTGTAATTCTGAAGTCAAATCAAATTTCACTTACAAATTAATTTTCCAAATCCATTTATGCCAGGTCACAAAGCTGCCCAACATCACTGCTCCCTGGGTCACTGAGGAATCAGGATCAGCGTGAAGCGCCAAGCAGCTTGTATGTAGCCCCCCTGATACTGCCACGAAAAGCTGCAGCTGAAGCCATACAGCCTGGGCCAGTCTGCACGTTCCAGATCATGCAGTTTGGAGGAGGGTGAGAAAGGTGTGCACAGGCACTGCCCAGTGTGGTGAGATAAAATGCCCCTAAGACGTAGTGAGCAGTTCAAGTAGCTCATTTATTTTTAATAAATCTTTTTTTATTTTTAATAAATCTCTTTTTGATGATATGAATGTATTTCTAACACAGAAAAAACTCAGTATTTGTGTTTTCCCTACTCTATATTTCTCTTGTAAAAAAAAGTAGTTAAATTTTAGTTCATCTCTTTACAAGTCACTTCAAGTGATAATAAGTAAACATGATAACCAAATATGTACCATGGATAAGAGTAAAATTTAAAATTATAGAACAGTTTGGATTAACAGATGAAATCAAGTCCTTGCCCAACAATAAAATTACCTGAATTAACGAGAAATTCTCCTTTCTTAACCATAAGGCCAGGGCTCTCTCTCTGCAAAGTTACTAGGATATTCTCCTACATGCTCTTTCTGCTCAAAAAGATTTCAATCATATCTACAATACAACCCAACTGCTCAAGAGACCAATGTGATCATCTACATGTACTCTCTTCAGTTTAAAACCAACATTTATCATTCTCTAATAAAATCTTGTTCAGTATACTTCAGCAACACCAGCCCTTCCCTTTTTATCCTAATTTTGCCTAAATCTTTTTGTTGGACAGAGGTCACTAGACAGAGACTCTCCTTTAAAAAAAAAAAAAAAGATTTATTTATTTATTTGACCAATAGCATGTGTGCATAAGTGGGGGAGGAGCAAAGGGAAAGACTCTTCAAGCACTGAACAAATGTTAACCTTATGTTAACAATGTGAAGAATGGGAAAATACCAGAAGAAAAGCAAAACATGTTCAAAAGCAAAACATAGGTTCAAAAGAACCTATAAACTAAAGTTTTAAAACCCCAGAAAAACGTAATACATTTAATAATGTAATACATTTTTAAAATGTCAAAGAAAACCCTTCATCACATTACTATTTTGAGCTATATATACAACTCTCATTTAGTATTCTTAACTTTAAAAAATGCTGAATATACTTACATGACACACACTACTTTGCAAATGAGAAAAAATTATATTTCATTTCATATATATCATTTTCAAATAACATGTATAACACAGAACACAAAAATTAAATTTAAAAATTGAAAATTGAAATTGAAATTTTTTCAACTTAAAATTGAAAATTAAATAATATTTTCCTTAATATTACTTTGTTAAACATATCTGTTCTTGTTTACCTTTCTGAAGAACTGCTGATAAATGTTCACCTAGAAGCTGCTTTTCTACAATAGCAATCAGTAGCTTCCTGTTTAAAAACAGTTGTAGATTACTAAAAGACTCTCATACTGGAGAGTTAAAACTGCTCACCAAAAGGGTAGTGCCTTTGTTATCAACTTTGACTTCTTGTTTTAAATCATTACTCATGTATCAGTGCCAAAAAATTGCTATTTTTGATGGTTTTAATGGTCTTCAGTAAGATTAAATTTTATTGTATGGACTTCTGATTTTTAAAAAATGACTTGTAATTATCATTACTTAACTTGAGGAGATTAGGTAATAATAGACATTGGCTTCACATAAAAAAATATTCTTTCATCTGTAATTTAACAAGATCAACAACAAATTTTCCAAAATTAATTTTCCTAATTTGGCTCACCAAAAACTTGAAAAATAAACTTATTAAGAAATTTCTATTTATAAGGCATTCCCATTACTTTGATACAAATGAAGAAAGAAGGGAGGGAGGAACTAAACAAAAAAAGGAAAAAAATTTATGACTTCATCCTATCATATGATAATTATTAATCTGTTTAAATAGTAGAAATCTCAAAGTGTAAATAAATATATAATATATATAATTATATAATTCTTACTGTGTGTTAAGGTGTAGGTAGGTTTTAACTCTGTCTACTTCTTCTTCTAGGAGCTTCTTGATATGGTAAAGACACCTTGGAATCTGAAAGAATATTTTAAGCTTCCTATTTCTAAGAATCATAGGACTTAAAAAGCACAAAAGTTACAAACAAAACAAGCAAGCAAACAAAAACAACCCTGTCTTATCAGTTTAGTTTCATAAAGACACAGCTATATTCTCAGTTCATTTCTATATAGCCAGAATGCCAAGAATTATAAAACAGAGTATAATTTGTAATAGGGAACACTGTGGTTTGAAATTTAATATAACTACAACAAAACCATAAAATACTTGAAGCAAAGGGCTGTCAGAAATGAAAAAAGAGAAGCCAAAAATTCAATGACAACTGGTGACATCAATAGCTGGTGACATATATGTATATGACATATAGTATACACAGGATGTACATGTGTGATATATAAAAGGATATATATGATAGATAAATAATGGATAGAACACCAACACAAAAACCAGCAAAGAAGAGACTTTAACAACACTAAACAAGAATTAACAGGCATTTGCAAAACACCACCCAACATTAGAATACACATTGTACTTAAGCACACATGGAACATTCTGCAAGACAGACCCCCTCAAACTACAAAACAAGTGAATGTATTTTAAAAGAATGAAAATTCTTTCATTCATTCATCACATTCATCACAATGGAGTGAAAATGGGAGAAAAAAGAAAATTTGAGAAATTAACAAGTATGTGGATATTAAAAATGATATTTCTCAACAACTAGTATGTCCAAGAAGAAATCAAACTAGGAAATGTTTTAACATGGTTGAAAATGAAGCTAGAACATATTAAAATTTAAGGATTACAGCTAACATATTACTTATGGGCAATTTATAGTTGTAAACAACTACCTTAGAAAAAGAAAGATCTCAAAACAATAACTTAACTTTTAAAACTAATTTTCTACCTAAAGACTCTAGAAAAAGATCAAATTAAACCTGAAGCAAGCAAAAAATAATAGTGTGGAATTTAATGAAACAGAAATGAAAAAATCAATAGGAAAAAAACCAGCAAAAACTGGTTCTTTGAAAAGGTCAACAAAATTGACAAAACTTAAGCACAACTGACCAAGAAGAGAAGAAAAAAAAAATTAAGTGTCAGCAAGAAAAGTATGTCAAAATATATATAGGAATTATAAACATGGTTCTTCCACAAGGATTTAATGATCTGTTCTACAGATAATTAAAGAGTTTATAATGGTCATCTTGACTTCAAATACCTCCTTTTTTTGTACTATTTTCCTTCCCTCTGCTGCATAGAACCTGCTTGTTTCTTCTAAGAATTTATTTTCAAATGATTCCTGGTAAATCTAAGATGGAATATATTAAAAAACTCAGTTAAAACTGATATTTAAAATATCAATTAAAAATTAGTTTCAATTTAACTAAAGTTAAAAAATTACTTACCTGCAAATCAGAAAGCATAGTTAAAAGCCTTTGAATCAGACATCGATCTACCATTTCACCATTTCTTTCTTTTTCAATCAACAAAAGAATTCCATCTATGATCCTGCTGTGAACATTCTGATCACAAATTATATATGATTTAAATAATTCAAGGCCCATGTCCCTGAAACAACAACAACAACAACAACAAAAACCTGCCTAAATAAATATTTTTGAAACCCTGTAAGTTTTGGCTTATTTTTTTTGCCATCAGTTATACTTTCATATATATAATGCACTACCCACAGGCAAAACAAAATATGCTGTGATGTTAAGTTCATTCTATCTACAGTTGGCTAAATTCTTCTATTTGTTTTTTGATGGTCTGAAATCAATCAGAATAAATAAGATTTCAGAGTATATAAAGTATACTGGATGTCATGCATAACTCCATAATAAAAAAATAAAATTTAAGATAACTCCAAAGCTGCTACACTTGCCTTATTTTAGATTTTTAGCCTTAATTAGCACAATTTAATGTCAATTTACTGACTTTCTAGTGTTTTAATAATAAAGTATATAAAATGTGATTCATTATCCTAGAATATATCTTAGAATTGGTATGTTTCCTAAATAAGATAGTTTATTAACACTGAGATAAATTAAAAATTAACACTTAAAGCTGTGCTACTGTGTGATCAAACAATTTTAAAACATTTTTGTTTCATGATATAGAGAAATATGGATTTTCAAAATTATTTTTGAAAATTTATAAGTTTATCTTATTATGTCTTCTTTCACTTAGTAGATAAAAAGTTGATCAGAAATTATATAAAACAATTTTTCAAGTAATTATTTGTATCCTTACCAAATGGAAGATGACATCAAAATTTGAAAAACATAAGTTCTATCTAGGAACAGAAAAATGTTCCTAATCATGCTCTGTCAGAAATAAAACAAAGGTAAAACATTATATCTGAAAGATTTTTGGGTTAAATTATTATCCATCTAATAAAACCTTAATTCTTAAGAAAAGGACATTATTTATAAACATCCTTTTCAATCTATAAATCAAACATAGGCAGTAACGTATTTATTTATCTTGGAAAGAGAACCTTTCAAATTTTTCACTTTTTTTCTTATTTGCTAGTTGTTAAATAATAAAGATTAATGGAGATATTTAAATAAAATTTATTCACACAGCTTATTCTTATGTAAAAACTGCTTATATATCAGTATCAGTGATAAATACAGTTTGCCAAACAAACCTTGGAAGAAACAATAGGAGATTAGAAGACTGAAAATAAAAGAGAGCTAGAGTTGTAGATAATAAAACAAGAAGAAATATGAAGAATTAATAGCAATACCTACTATGACCAAGGCTATGTACAAATATAAGATCTTATGCTTTATATTAGAAGACACAGAGTAACAAGAGAATTCTTTACTATGAATATAATGGTTATATACAAAGTAATTGCAATGTGAGCATATACAAGAATACCAGTTCTCAAACATTCTTGTCTCAAGTCCCCTTTATATTTTTAAAAAGTATTGATGAAACCAAAGAATTTTCACTAGTGTGTTATCCACTAACATTTGTGGTACTAGAAAAGTAAAATGAGAAAACTCTAAGTATTAAATTCCAGTTACACTAATTTAGTAATAAAAATTTAATTAATGTGTTAAGAAATGTTTTTAATCATTTTAATTTTAAAACAGTAATTGCCAAAGGATATGAGCTTTTACTTATAATGTAAATAAGTTTTAGAGATCTAATGTAAAGCATAGTGATGAAAATTAAACACCCTGAATACTGAAAAACACTTGAAATTTAATAAGATCCTTAAATGTTCTAGTAATTAGGAGAGGTGATGAAGGTATTAGCTAATACTACTGTGGTAATCACTTTACAGTATACAAATCCATTAAATCATCATCCTGTACATCTTAAACTTGCACAATGTTATGTCTCAATTATATCACAAAATATTTGTAAAGAATTCATCATTTGAAAAAGGAAACGGACCATTAATAATTTTTTTTTAAGATTTTTATTTATTTATTTGAGAGAGAGAGAGAATGAGAGATAGAAAGCACGAGAGGGAAGAGGGTCAGAGGGAGAAGCCGACTCCCCGCCGAGCAGGAAGCCCGATGTGGGACTCGATCCCGGGACTCCAGGATCATGACCTGAGCCGAAGGCAGTCGCCGGACCATTAATAATTTAAATACACCCTTATGTATTATTCAAGCTTACTTATATAAACAGATGGGAGAAACCAAAAGAGAAACAAGAGAAAACCAGAGTGGTATAAAGAGATAAGAGCCTAGAAAATTTGGAAGAAGTGATAACCTGTAAACTATATCTTAACGAGTAAGAATTTTCCAGGAAGTATTTTCCAGCCTAGCTGGTTAAATATTGCATGGAGTAACAAACATAAATAGCATGCTTGTTTCCCCTGACATACAATCCTTTAAACTGGATCAAAACCCCACAAAGATAGCCTAAATGTGGTCTCAAAGACTTTTACTTTTGGGGCAAATTTACAGTCTCTATAAATAGTGTAATTAAATTTATAAGATTTTAAAATATGCTCATACATTCTTAACTTTGGCAATCACTGTATTCATGGATATTCTGTTTTAGAAAATATGTACTTTTTTGGTCTTAACTTAAAACATTTAATCTGGCACCTCTTTGCTGATTCCCCTTGAAGCTCTGCACAGAGCATTTGGAAATGTTATGAAAAGGGGTAATTATGCTGTCCAGAGAATCTTGTCATGTAACAGTGCTGTGTGACATTAAGGAGATTGACGGCGGCATGGTTCACAGCCTTGATTTTGAGCCAAGACTCATGATCACTTTTTTTAAGTGTGAAAATTAGAAAACTGTGATGTCGTAGCCATCTATGATTAAGGATAATATGAGTGAGAATTGGAAATGAGTAAAAATGGGTTTAACAAATCCATTCACTTAAACAATCAAAGTTCACATTTCCCTCCCTTTGAATTCCTGTAAGATACACTACACAAGAAGCAAAGAGCATTTTTCTTCTTATGGAGGCAGCCAAAGATTTTGCTATCAGAGTGAGGGGACCCATGTCCAACTCCTATTAGGTCTCAGGGGCAGGGACAACAAACTATAAGAGGAACTTTTGGAGGTGATGGATATGTTCACTGTTGATTGTGGTGATGGCTCCCCAGGGGTACAAATATATCAAAACTTAAACTGTATGCTCAAGTATCTCTGGCTTTTCATATATCAGTTATACCCCAATAAAGATTTTTTTTTTAAAAAAATCAGTTAATACTTTCAAATCATAATTCATGTGGGCCCCTCCCTTTTATATTTTTAAAAATATAAATTCCTATCACTATTTTAAGGAATATGAATAGTCTATTCTAGCTTTTAGTCTTTATGTAAGAAACTGAGAAAAATGTTTTCCATTAGTGAAGATTTGAATTTACAGTTTTGTTTTCACACATTAAATAAATATTTAAAACTTATAATAATAGTATTAACACATTATCTCATACTTTATGATACCAAAATTGAAAAGCAACCACAATTTGCATATTTTCATCTTCAAAATACAGAAATATCTTCTGTTGAAATATTTAAAACAGCTAATTTATCTAATTTAGTGTATTTCCCTTTGTTAGAGCTCCAATCCCTTTACAGCACATTCCCTTTTATATTCAAATTTGAGATGATAAATTACTAATTTCAGGTAATATTTATTTAGTGAGACTAAATCTCGCATATATTCTGTGACTCTCACTTAATCTCAGATTAATGTTAAACACAACTATATCTAAAATATAATTGTCTCTTTGAAAAAAAAAACTTTATAGTTGTAGATGAACCAGTAAATTATAATTGAAATTTTAAAGAACTAAGAATAGACTTCTACCATAAAAGCATTTCCAAATATGTTTTTAAATAAAGCATGAGTTACTATATTTTGGATTTTTTTTCTTTTATAGACTATTTAACGTATTCCATAATAACTCTCTTAAATAAAAATATAATTTCTATAAGCCTACCATTTGTCTGCCATGATTTTGCCAGCATTTATCCATTTTCTTTAGAAAAGGGCCAATATCCAAAGAATACATGAAGTAATGTTAAGAAAAATTTTATATTCTAAAACTAACACACATTCTGCAAATGGAAGATACAACTTCTAAAAGAGAATATTTGGTAAACCTGATTAATGCTAACCATAGACCAAGCATCTCTAAGTCTTAAACAAACATGAAGATACCAAAAACAAAATTAATCCCACATGCCAAAGTAATTATTCCATTCAACAGATACTGACAAGGAAATTCAAAGGGGAAATTCAAAGAGGAAAAACAATTCAAAGGGGGATAAAAGGATACTCTCTGAACTGATGAATTTCTGCTTTGATGTGCTGTTCACAAAGCTGCTTCAACTGTTTATATAAGTTTGCAGATAAATTGTAGGAGCAAAGGTTTTCAACACTCTGAAAAATAAAAATGTGTATGTGTAAGTTGAAAAAAATATATAGTTTAAATTACTTCTTCCACATTTACTGATAATACTGACCACTGATTATGAACTTTTTTTTTTTTTTAAAGATTTTACTTATCTATTTGACAGAGAGAGACACAGCGAGAGAGGGAACACAAATCGGGGGGTGGGAGAGGGAAAAGCAGGTTTCCTGCAGAGCAGGGAGCCTGATGCGGGGCTCGATCCAAAGACCCTGATCATGACCTGAGCCAAAGGCAGATGCTTAACCAATTGAGCCACCCAGGCGCCCCTGATTATGAACTTCTTTCATATGAATTAATAAATGAATAGGAATGGTGTTAACATATTAATGACTATTAAATAATAAAAAGAGATTTCAAAATTTAAAATTCAGGAAGCCTAACAAAATGTATTTAAAATTCTTCCATCCAAATTAGCATGTACAAACCCATTCTTAAGCAGTAAGTCTAAGCACTCAGACTTCACCATAATTAACTTTTTAAAATTTAAAATAATTCCCTGAAATTAGTTGGCTAAACCATAAGTTAAACCATGTCTTACCTTTCAGAATGTTTAAAGATTATCTTTCTTTAAAATTAAAAAATTAAGAAAAGAATTTAAAATAATGTGTAAAATAATTACAACCATACACAATTTTATCAAGTGTGCTTAAAATGCCTGTTAAAACAATAGAACTATTTTGTTTATATTAAAATACACTCCATTGACCACTGGAGTGATGTGACCAAAAATGGTAGAAAACTCTAACTCCCCATTAAATAAAAAATTAGGCCAGCAAAACTATCAGAATCTATTTTTTCAGAGCTCTGGAACCTCACCAAAACCCTTGCAATCAAAGGAACATTTAATAAAGAAAAAACCTGCTACATTTCAGTAATAGAGCCTTTTGGTATTAACTTACCCACCTACCATGGTGAAAATTGCCAGTATGGTTTACTGGTTATAGTCAGAGAGAAATGCAGACCTTGCTCGCAAAGAACTATAAATGTATTTTGACTCTGGATTTTGCGTTTATGCTTTCTGCTTTGAATCTTCAGGCAGAAGGAACCAAACTGGGGACTTTGTCAAAAAGTTTAAAGGCATTTAAATACACTGACTTAGTTACCTAAGGCAAGAGATAACAAACAGGAAAAGTAGCATACAAGAAAATCCTAGAAAGCATCAGAGGTTGGAAAAGAAATACCAAAAAATTAGTGCTTTGAAAGTTCCTGTGTATAAAATCAAGAAAGGCAGAAAAATCAAGAAGGCCACACATATCCTAGAACATTCTCAGAAAAGAGCTGAAGAGACCCTAAATTCACTTTAGGTTTACATTAAGGATCTACCCAAATATAATGAAAGAAATCTAAGAGTTGTAAATAGCAGGTCTAACCAATGAATGAATGCCCCAATACAACTGTAATCTTCAAAAGCAGAGAAAAATTTTTGTTTTGTTTTTGGCTGTATTATTTAAGTATATCTCAATATACTTAGTGGTTAGTTAATCACTAAGCTAATGGAACAGGGACATCCAATGACAACAAATGACAAAGAAATACAGTCTTTACAAAAATAGTTCAGAAAAGTGATTAAAAAAAACAAACAAAATACCTGTCACCCAAAGCAGTAGCAACAAATTGTGGGAAAGAGCAGAAGCTGATCTCCAGAGTTGTCATAACACAACTGGAAGTTTTGATTAAAAAAACAAAACAAAACGCACCTCTGAGAGGAGGGGATTAAGATGGCAGAGGAGTAGCACCCTAACTAGCCTCCTCCTTCAAACACAGCTAGATAAATATCAACTCTTTCTGAACACCCAAGAACTCAACGGGAAGTCTTCTAGAACAAAGCTGCATATCTACAAACAGAGGAAATGATCCTTGGAAGTTTCTTGTAACAAGGACACAAGAACACACCTAGGATCTAGCTTTCTTTCTTTCTCTTTGAAATTTTTAAAAATTTTAATTACATTTTACTTTTTTTTCCCCCTCCAAAATGACAAGATGGAAGAATTCAGCCCAAAAGAAAGAACTGGAAGAAATGCTGATCAGGGGTTTAATAAATATAGTATAAGTAAAATATCTAAATTAGACTTTAAAACAACAATTATAAGGATACTAGCTGGGCTTCAAATAGGCATAGAAGACACTAGGGAATACCTAGTCAGGCCAAAATTAAAAATGCTATGACTGGGAGGCAATCCCAAATGGATATCATCATGATGATGGATGAATCAGAGGAATTAATCACTGGTACGAAGACAAAATTATGAAATATAAGATGAAAAGAAGAGGGAAACAAAGAATCATGAAGGTAGAATGAACTCAGCAACTTATTAAAATGGAATAATATTCATATTATTATTGATTATATTGGATTTATATACTGTAAAATGATTACCACAGTAGCATTAGCTAATACCTTCATCACCTCTCCTAATATACATATAATAAATGTGCTATATTTATAATAGAAAATTAGCCATCAAAAAAATGAAATCTTTGCAACGATGTGGATGGAGCTAAAGGGTATCATGCTAAGTGACGTAAGTCAGGCAGAAAAAGACACATACCACATGATCTCATTCATACGTTGAATTTAGGAAAGAAAACAGACGAACTTAAGGGAAAGGGGGAAAAAGGAAAAAGGGAAACAAACTTGAGACTCAACAATAAAGAACAAATTATATTTCTCTCCAATTTTAAAAAAAGCCATTCTAGACTCTTTTTAAAATAAGAAAAATGTACACAAAACCCTGCTAAATTAAAATGAATTAAAATAACCTGAAGAATGAGAATATATATATAAAAACAAGTGTATGCAGCATAATTATAGCTAAATAAATCCACCAAATATAAATACAGAAACTGAACTGCATGATTGTAAACTATGATGGATTCCATGATTACAATGCATAATGATAAAACAGATTCAAGCAAATAAAATTATTAATATAAATTCTGACTCCATTATGATTAATGAGTATTTTATATCCAAAAATAACACATACTTGATAGAGTTCTTCCAAGCTGTATTTAACACAGGTATTGTTCTGGATAGCTTGTACAGCTTCTTTTAATTTTTGCCATGTTTCTTCAGTATAGTTTTCCAGTATCAGAGGTTTATCTAATAAATAAACAAAAGATTATGGAGCGAAAGTTTGGAAGAGAATGTCAGAATACTATAAAATATAATATCATCACACATTTAAGACAAATTAAACAGGTATGTTGAGACCATTCAGAGTTGGTAAAAATAGTCTCTTCAACAAATGGTACTAGGACAACAAGATACCCACATTCAAAAGAATGAAAAAAACCTGCTATCTTAATATATTAAAAAAATAATTCAAAATCAAAGGCCTAAATATAAATATTACAGCATAATCTATAAAGCTTTTAGTAGAAAACACAGGGATAAATTTTCATGACCTTGAATCTTGCAATAAATTCATATATGACACCAAGGTACAAGCAACATTAGATAATTTATTTGAGAGTTCATTAAGTTAAAATGTAAAATTTTTGTGCATCAAAGGAAAATCAAGAAAGCAAAAACACAACCCTCAGGATACAAGAAAATATCTGCTAATCATATAACTGATAAGTATCAAGTACCTAGAATAAAAAATTCTTGCAACTCAATTACAAAAAAGATAAACCCAATTAATAACTAGGAAAAGGATTTGAACAGACATTTTCAAGAATATATACAAATGACCAAGCAGCTTATGGAAAGTTGCTCAACATAATAAGTAAATAGATAAATATAAGTCAAAACCATGACATATCACTTCACACCTACTAGGAAGGATATAACAAGTTTTTGAGAGGATGCAGGGAAGTTGGAACCCTTGTACATTTCTGGTGGGAACATAAAATTGTGTGGACAATGTGGAAAAGTTTAACAGTTCTTCAATTACTTAAACAAAAAATTACCATATGACCCCACAATTCCCTTCTTGGTATATAGCCAAAAGAACTAAAAACAGGCATTCATATAAAATCCTATACATAAATGTTCAAAGCAGCATGTATGTCCATACAATGGAATTTTATTTAAGCCATAAAAATTAAGCATTCACACATGCTACAGCATGAATTAACTTCAAAAGCACAATACTACAGGAAAGAAGCCAATCAGAAAATGTCACCTGTAGAATGATTTCGTTTATATGAAACATCCAGAATATGTAAATCCATAGAGACAGAAAGCAAACTGCTGACTGCCTGGTAGAGGACAGGAAGGAATGAAAAAAGGATAGACAGGGAAATGATAATGCTTATGAATATGGGGTTCCATTTTAAGGTGATTAAAATGAACTTATTAAATGAAAATGATTAAAATTATTTAATTCAGAATTGGGGGCCTCTGGGTGGCACAGTCAGTTAAGCATTTGACTATTGGTTTTGGCTCAGGTCATGATCTCAGGGTACTGGGATCAAGCCCCAAGTCAAACTCCATGCTCAGTATGGAGTCCGCTTGTCCCTCTCCCTCCGCCCCTCCCCCTACTCTCTCACTCAAATAAATAAATAAATAAATAAAATCTTTAAAAAGTGTTTCAGGATTAGTGCGCAATATTGTCACTAAGTGTACAAGTGTACACTTTAAAGCAGTTAATGTCTAATTTTTTGCTATGTAAATTTCAACTCAGTAAAAATATAAGCACAGAATTAATAAAAGAGAGTCTCAACAAAAACTAAGAAACTTGCATGCTTAAATTACTAAACAAAAATAATGTCCCAATTAAATGATAAGTTTCTACTTAATAAGTTGGTAAAGACTAATAAAGGGAATCTACAACAAGAAAAACAGTAATACAAAATTAAACACCAATTAACTGAGCCAGAAAACAACCAAAATCCAAGATTTGGAAGGGAAACTATATATACACATAGTTAAGTGTTATATTACATATTTACATTATATTTATATATAAAATATATGTCATAATATATGTATTTATTACACATATATATTTATATAAATTAGGCCACCTAGAAGGCAAAACATCAAACCAGAAATATGCATCTTTAAGAAAAATTGGTATTTTTATTTCAAAATTCTTTGGTAGTTTGTTAGGCAAAGAATAACTTCAAAATTAGGTTTCTTTTCTTTCTTTCTTTCTTTTTTTTTTTTTTAAGTAGGCTCCATACTCAGCATGGAGTGTAAGGCAAGGCCTGAACTGAGATCAAAATCTCAACGCCCATCTGACTGAGCCACCCAGGCACCTCAGGTCTCTTTTTTTTTTTTTATATATATCATATTCTCTCCCGCTCTCAATAAATTTACTATTATACAAATTTTTCCCTAAAAGAATGATTATTTTAAAAGCCTGAAAAACATTATTATAGCATGAAAAAAGTGTTTCTTCAAATGAGTTAATATAAAAAAGTCAGCAAAAAATATTGAAAGTCATATTTGATGATGATGATCAAGAGAAATATTGCAATGTTCCATCTCACTGCACCAGAATATTTTCTAAATTTGTTTTTAATGTTTTAAAATCTGAAACAGATGGTATATTTTTTGTATCTTTCATGGAGGAATATGAAATTAGTCAAAATTATTTAAATAACTGTAATAGATATTTAACTTAGCTAAGCTGTAAATATGAAAATACATATTTTAATTACTAATATTGACTAAAAATTGAAAACAATATGCATAGACCAGGGCATTTCAGTTACTGAAATTTATCCTAAAAATACTAAAATATACTAAAAAATATTGGAAATTCAAACTTTCATTCATTCAATAATGCATGACTATAATGTGAATTCCAAAAATTCGTGTTATTTGAAGTATTAGTTCCTAAAGTTTGCTTTTTTACACTTTAACAATCTATAGTCAAACTTCTGCATAATAAATCCAGCATGCACTAGGTTCTGGATAAAACACAAGGGGACAAAATGTTAAAAATATTTATTTTTGGAAAGCTCTAGAAAATGTGGTGTGTTAAACAGAAATTTTGTAATATTTGATATTTTACTTACAATGAAGAGCCATACTTATAAGCAGAAAAGAACTGAATACAAGAGTTATTTAATAATATTAATTAAAATAGAAAAAGTTAAATTTTTTCCTGACAAAGATAGCAACAAGCTTGGTATATGTCCTTTGAACTCTGTAAACTAAAAATGAGCAAACAGCTACCAAAAATGTTGGTTTTTAAAATTCAAAAATACCCACATAAGGATTTCGTTTTACAAATTTGACATAAAAAACCTGATTCTGTAATTCTGTTGAGTTTCTAATTTTTTTATACTAATATTTCCTCAGAATTTTTTATTTATTCTTTTAAAGATATTATATATTTATTTGACGGAGAGAGACACAGTGAGAGAAGGAACACAAGCAGTTGGAGTGGGAGAGGGAGAAGCAGGCTCCCCTCTGAGCAGGGAGCCCAACATGGGCCTCAGTCCCCAGGACCGTGGGATCATGACCTGAGCTACCCAGGCGCCCCTCCTCAGAATTTTTTAAATGCTAAAATGCATCTACTCTGAGTAATGGATCTTATTATGATTTCATTATTTATATCCAAGTGCATAATTTTTCACCATATGTTCTATAAGTTATCAAAAATTTAAATTGTTGCCTTTTTACTTCCTATCTAAGACCACTTTTCAGTAATGTTACAAATCCACTCACTAAGAAGATGGGACACAATATAATCTACAAAGGTGTGGCAGCTGAGAGTGGTATTTTAAAGTCAAAAGAGAGAACTTAAAATATATTTTAGAGGGAAACAGAGAAGTGAAGCATGGAGCGATTTTCCAAAGGTCAAAAGTTACTCCATGGTTATATCATGGCCAGGACTCAGGTCTTCAGAGTGCAAAACAATGTTCCTAAATCTTCTAAAAATTAATTGCCTCAAAAAATATAACTCCATCTCTCTGAATTTAAAATAAAAAAGCAGCAATAGGGTATGAGCAGCTAAAACTGAAATCTTAATAAAATGATCATTATGTTACCTTTAAAGTTTTTGATTACTAATTTCTTGACAGAGCCAGTGCTAAGCTTGATACTGGCAAAACTAGAAAGAGTTGTGGGGGCTTCAGCCAAGTCATCTGTATGATGGTCTGCAGTCACAGAGAAAACTATCAAGTTTCTGTTCTTAAGTTGTTCTTGTTCCTGAGAGGCAGTAGCAGATGAAGATGATGATGAGTATTCCCCGGCCATTTTCACATTAAGTCCTGTAAAATTAAAAAAAAATCCAGTTTATACTTCTGTCTACTAGATTTAAGAAGTTGGATAAAAGGAGGAAGATAAGGATCAGAAAGAGATAAACAAGGGGTGCCTGGGTGACTCAAGTCAGTTAAGTATCTGTGTTTGGCTCAAGTGGCAATTCCAGGGTTCTGCTCAGCTTTTTCCTCCTTTCTGCCCCCAACACCCCCCCTTCATGCATAAATAAATGAAATCTTTAAAAAAAGAGAGCGAGATAAACAAGAAAAGCATTTAAGGGGCTCCTGACCCTTGCTGCTATATTTTAATCTTTTTTTCCTTAATAGTACCCAGAAGAAGATGAAGAAAGACCATCAGCAAGTATATATAATCTCTAGAGAAATGGACAACACTAATTGCCAGATCAGGAGGGCGAAATATCTTGAAAACATGGAAATAAAGAGAATGAAAAAAAATAAACCATCAAAACAAAAAGAGGAAAATAACCAAGAGCAAAGGAAAAAAAAAGTGAAATGTTATCAATGATAACATAGTAGCAAATGAGAAAATGATAGTGAAAGAGTTTTTTAGAATAATGTGAAGAGGGCAAATATGGGAAAGAAACACTAAAGATTAGAGAACAAGAGAAAATGGGAAGCAGAGAGAAAAAAAAACATAAAAAAGAGAGAAACTCAGAGACAGAAAATGAAAATACAGACTGAAAGAAAAACAAAACAAAACAAAACAAAACAAAACATGCAAGGCACCTATATCAGTACATTTTGCAACCTGCTGCAACAAAGAGTTAGCCTAAGGAAAAAAAGACAAACACAAACCACAGAAATAGTTAAAAGAGATATCAATCAGACACAAAGAAATGAAGTACAGAAAGTTAGAAAAGGCAGAACATAATACATTTGTTTACTGTGTACCAGTCAGGTGTTTTGGAATGTAATGGTAAACAAAAGAATCTCTGGACTCTCACGAAACATCCATTATAAAGGTCCAGAAAATCTAGCAAGTCTCAAACTGAAGGTGCAAAATGAGAAAATAAATAAGTAAAAACTGATGCACAGGCAGAAAGGAGTTAAGTTTAATGAGATTTTAAAGGGTGGGGAGAAAAAGTAGAAGTAATAAGAGAGAAAGGGTATATAAGAAAAGGAAGGGGAAAACCAGAAGGAAAACAAAAGAAAAAGCAAGGAAAATAATATTTACTCACATAATGAGAAAGGCATAAATACACTATGATAGAAATGAATATATGGATAAACATGAGAGAGATTTAAGGAAAGAAAGGGTAGCAATACTAGACAAAAACAAATATACAGGGCAACAGAAACCCAACAAGACATTTTTAAAAAGCATCCGTGAAGAAATATAGACATCATTACAAAGAAAATGAAAACACAAAAGACTCAGAAAAAGAAATGAAAGAAAGGAAGGCAGAAGAGGAAATTAGGGGCCAGAGGAAGCATAAGGAACCTTAAAGGAAGTCGCAGGCATTCCAGGAAAGAGGATATAAACAGTTACACGGCCTAGGGATAAAAAATGAAAGATTAACGAAATAGAGATAAGAGTCAGTACATGTATGTAGTCTGAACAATACAGATACACAAGGCAAATTTCTATCTGTGGAGAACTCTTTCCCTAAAGATAGAACTAGGGAAAGAATGAGTTAAAAAAAAAACAAAGAAACAAAAAACTTCAAGAATTGGAGAGGACAAGTTTATGAAAAGACTAAATGACTTTAACGGAAAGGAACAAAGATCGGTACTACGACTTAGAAGCATTTAAAAAACAAATAAACAAACAAACAAACAAACAAAAACAGGGGACAGAAAAATGGGAACAGATTAACATAAAAAATGGGTAGACAAAAAGTCAGAGATTCAAAATTAGATTAATAGAAAAACAAAGCATACAAACAAAAGTCAAAAGTAACAAGATAATAAACTATGAAAGAAATCACAAGAAAAGCTGGAGAAGAAGAAAAATATTAAGAGAAATATCTTAAGAGTCCAAGTTACAGCACTAAACCACAGAATAGACGGACAAACATGAATCAAAGAGAAAGTCAAAACAGATATAAAGAAAAAGAAACAAAGAAATATATAAAATATATAAAAGAAATACAAAAAGTAAAAGGCGGACAAAAATAGCATGTTAAGTGGAAAACTTAAAACACTGAAAGAGGGTCAATAGAGAAAATGTTCACACACAAAATCGGTTACAAAATTAACAACAGAAGCCTGTTAATTGCTGAGAGATAAAATGGCAACACACTACTCTTTAAGATTAAGGTATAATGAACTAGTAATAATTTACACATATTTTGTTTTTGGGTTAAAAGTACTTGCCTCTCTAAAAGATGAAAAAGTACTTCAGAAAGGACCGTTGACTTCCCCACAGCCTCACGGTCTCGCGATGCGAGACTTCAACTTGTCTCCCCCGGAAATGACGTGTCCAAAATTCCCATTATGACCAACAGTTGGCAATTAAAATTATGCCCTGCGTCCAGCAAGGGGTAAGAGGGAGGGAGCTAGAGCCATGTCCATGGAAATGTGTTGTACAATTGCAAGATCATTAACACTGAAAAAAGAAAAGGGAGTTTGGGGTAAATCGTTAAGCCCCCCAGATATATGCAGCTTTTTAAATGACCTGAATGTGGAACTTAAATATATCAATTCTGCATATCCTTTCCTGAGGGGTTAAGCGTCTCCATCCAGTATATTTTCAAAGCAGATGTAAAACCTGCCAAAAGTCATTAGTTATGCTATAGGGAAAAATTACCACCAAGCAGCTTAATTAAAGGTATAAAGTTCCTCATCCTCTTACAAAAAGAACAATTTTTCTGATTAGCTTTTATATTTGTGCTGTAAGTCCTGGTAATTTTATTATTTAAATTAACCTTTATGTAGACCACAATAATTAGTATGGTTAAACTGAACATTGTAAATTTTGGTGTAGATGTGTAGATGAAAACAAATTTTATTTTTATTGTTAATTTCATTTTGCTACAAGGCATAGTTAATAGTTGGAGTTACACTCTCCCCATGTGCACGTTTTAGTGCCTGCCAGTAACTGCTACTCTCACCATTTTATATAGTTTGGGTTGCTAAGTCTTTTAAATCACTGAAAATTAATATATTTAAACAAATAAATACATTTAAATAAATGTATGTGGGTATATGTTCACTTATGACATATTTATCAAAAAATATTTGAATCACTGTATTGTACACCTGAAACTAATACTACACTGCCATGTTAATGAACTGGAATCTAAAAAAAACTTAAAAAATACTTGATCACCTCATTTTCACATAACAGACAAAACATACTCTTTTGTACTTTTTATTAACCTTAAAAATTCTATGAGGTAGTTGCATTCCTTCAGGCCTAGTCTCTTTCATAGTTGCAGAAAGAAACAGTATAATAAGAGTTAATAAATAACAGTGCCAAATAGGGGCGCCTGGGTGGCTCAGTTGGTTAGGCGACTGCCTTCGGCTAGGGTCATGATCCCAGGGTCTTGGGATCGAGCCCCGCATCGGGCTCCTGCTCCGCGGGAAGCCTGCTTCTCCCTCTCCCACTCCCCCCGCTTGTGTTCCCTCTCTCTCTGTCAATTAAATAAAAATAAAATCTTAAAAAAAACAAAAACAAAAGAGTGCCAAATACAATGTTAGTACTTAGAGTTATTTCATTTAATTCTCTTATCAATATTAGGAGATGTAGAAACACTAATTATTCCAATTCTTCAATAGGAAAGAGAAGTTCAAGAAAATTGAGTAGGTTACTTTTGTTTTAGACAAGGGAAGAGATTTCACTGTTCTTATAGTACTGCAGGAACCTTTTATTTTTTTTTACCCATAGTGCTGAGCAATTGTGACACCAAAGGCATTATCAAAAATATGAGATTCATGAGGATCAGAACTTTTGTCTCTTTTATTCCCATCTATAATCCCCATCCCTTAGAATCCTATTTAGCACAATAAATATTTGCTAAATGAAGTGAATCATGTTTTCAGGCTCAAGGAAGATGAAATGAAATACTGATCCCCATGATTCACAAAAAGTAAACAGGGTCAGATTGAAAAACTTTTGACTTTTGTACTAAGTTTACTTCAACTCTGACTATTGAATCTCTAAATCGTTAATATTAATGTCTATTAACAAGGATGCATTGGCCTTCTTTATTATGCCTAGAATAACAGAGGAGTGTTCTCCAGAAAGAAGAATTTAGCTTGTTAAAATAAAGGTTACAGTGAATCAATAGAGTATTCTGGGGTCAGTGGTACACATATTTCTATTCTTGGACAATTATGTCTATATTTTCAACAATTTATCTTAACAATATATTGCCCTAATGAGTGAACATCATTTCTCCTCCAAAATCCAGGTCAAAGAGTGACTAAAATTCCAGCCCTGTCAATACAGCTTAAATCCTCTTCTTCCTCAGAATCTAAACAAAAGAAAGACACTACCACCGTCCTCTTCTTAACTCACTAATTTGTATAAATGTTAAAGCTCTCTTTTCCCCAGTAGGATAGAAGGTCAGGAAGAAAGATAAAAACAAATATAAAAACTATAAGAAAACCCAAAATATGCATTTTTTTATCTTCTAAGTTTAACAGATGTTGGTAAGATATGTAATGATTTTGAACATGAAACAACTGGAATATCTTGTCCTATTGAGCTAAGTTAGGTAGAAAGTAGATTTTTTTCCTTCTATATATCCCAATACTCTCCATAAACCCTACAATTGATTTTTTAAAACTTTGAGAATCTTTTTTCTTTAATATTTTTATTGTTATGGTAATCACCATACATTACATCATTAGTTTTTGATGTAGTGTTCCATGATTCATTGTTTGTGTATAACACCCAGTGCTCCACACAGAGTGTGCCCTCTTTATTTATTTTCCTTTAAATTTTTTTTGTTATTAAAACACCATACATTACATTAGTTTTTGATGTAGTGTTCCATGATTCATTGTTTGTGTATAACACTCAGTGCTCCACACAGAATGTGCCCTCTTTATTTATTTTCCTTTAAATTTTTTTTATTATAACACCATACATTACATCATTAGTTTTTGATGTAGTGTTCCATGATTCATTTTTTGTGTGTAATACCCAGTGCTCCACGCAGAACGGGCACTCTTTAATATCTATCACCAGGCTACGTCATGCCCCCACTCCCCTCCCCTCTAGAACTCTCAGTTTGTTTTTCAGAGTCCATCATCTCTCATGGTTCATCTCCCCCTCCAATCTCCCCCCCCTTCATTCTTCCCCTCCTGCTATCTTCTTTTTTTTTTTTCTTAACATATATTGCATTACTTGTTTCAGAGGTACAGATCTGTGATTCAACCGTCTTGAACAATTCACAGCACTCACCATAGCACATACCCTCCCCAATGTCTATCGCCCAGCCACCCCATCCCTCCAACCCCATTCCCACTCCAGCAAACCTCAGGTTGTTTCCTGAGATTAAGAATTCCTCATTTCAGTGTGAGGTGATATGATACATGTCTTTCTCTGATTGACTTATTTCACTCAGCATAACACCCTCCAGTTCCACCCATGTCGTTGCAAATGGCAAGATCTCATTCATTTTGAGGGCTGCATAATATTCCATTGTGTATATATATACCACTTCTTCTTTAACCATTCATCTGTTGATGGACATCTTGGCTCTTTCCACAGTTTGGCTATTGTGGACATTGCTGCTATCAACATCAGGGTGATGTACCCCTTCGGGTCCCCACATTTGTATCTTTGGGGTAAATACCCAGTAGTGCAATTGCTGGATCATATGGTAGCTCTATTTTCAAATTTTGGAGGAACCTCCATACTGTTTTCCAGTTGCACCAGCTTGCATTCCCACCAACAGTGTAGGAGGGTTCACCTATCTCCTCATCCCCACCAACATCTGTCATTTCCTGACTTGTTAATTTTCGCCATTCTGACTGGTGTGAGGTGGTATCTCATTGAGGTTTTGAT